GATAGGTACATAGGAAAAGTTAAAAAAAAAACTTGTTCATTTTCTTGGAAAGTTACGCTAAGGAAAGATAATAGACGTGTTAGAATTGTATTAGGTGTTTGGAAAAGTTTATTTAATTTTAAGATTGTCTGTCTTTACGATAAGAGTTGCGCTTATCGCTAAAGTTTAACTACTTTTGTAAACAGGTAAACAGGTGAATTTTGTTTATTTTAAAATTAGGAAATGGAATCGGAGATGAGACAGGAGGGGGAAAGGTGTTACATAGAAGAGGAAATGTTTAACGTGCACCGTGGCTTTTTGCCGTTCGCCTTTGGCCTTTCCTCCGCCACCGCCGGCTGTGTTTTGACCGTTAGGTAGAATCGGACCCAATGGCTCCAATAAGTGTGTTGGAGCCGTGCTTTTCGGATGTACTAAAGACAGTCAGTCTGTGTAATTATAAGTTTATTGAAGAACGTTTGGTAGTGAATTAAGGGATTTTAACTACATGTTAAATTTAATAGTCGAGTACAAGTTAAGAAGAAGTTTTGTGTCACGTATTCGAAGAAAGTGTTATACACTGATATTGTTTTTCCCTATGTCTACCTTTAAAAGATAAAATCTCTTCTGAAGGGTGCCTAATTTTATGCATGCAACTTCTTATAAGAAAAAATCTGACTGTCATATTAATTAATGTTAATATTGTGGCTGTTCCGTACTAACGTGCGGGTGGTAAAACCATGTCTAGGCATATAAGAATAAGAATAAGAATTTTTTTTATTTTTGCTCAAGTACAGCAGCAGAGTAGTTGAATTCACACCAAATAAAATTAACAGTAATGAACCATCTAATTGACAAACTAACTAATAAATTTTTTGCTATACTAGACAAAAAACTTAGGACCTCTAAGGCAAGCCTGTGCAGTAGAGGACACCCTCACGCACAAATAATAAGTCTGCGGTAATAATAGTAATATAGTAATAATAGATGGGTATATAAGTATAGGCAACCAACATTACGGCAAACGGAGTTGTTTTTAAAATTCTTTCTCCCTGCAAGAATTGAGTAATCAATCTTTAACGTTCCCGAAACCGATTTTAAAGCTCTTCTCGAATTTTTGAGACCGTTCTCAACGCTTTCCGTTTTAAAATAAGTCCTAAATTAATTAAATCCGCATTCGGCAACGTTCGTGGTGACATTCCAAAAAAAATTTCGAAAACATTTTAGTAAAATTTCCTGTATAAACAATGGCTTAGACTTTATATTTCAATGTCTAATTAATACATTCTTAAGCATTATGGTTAGCATGTTATAGCTTATGAAGGTTTTGCCCTGTTATTGGTCTTATGCTGTTGGGTAAATATATTATTATTATTATTATTATTATCGTCGTTTTTTACTCACTCATGGTGGTATGCTTCACATGAGACGGGTCTTAACCAAGTCATCATGTGGTAATGTGTGGCTTTTAGTGTCATTGGTTGAGAAACTTTCTGACCATATTTGCCGTGTTTAGTAATATGGCCTTCTGTATGTTTGTGTGTATATGTGTGCTGAGCTGTAGTGCTTGTAAGTAATGTGTAAATGTTTTTGTTGTGAGTCCTGTGACTGAGAGTAGGACCGGTACTATTGTTACTTGTTCTTGCTTCCAGAGTTCTTTGAGTTCTATTGCTAGTGGAGTATACTTTATGATCTTTTCTTGCTCTTTGTGTATGAGATTAGCGTCGTTTGGGATGGCTATGTCTATTAACTGTGTTGTGTGTGCGGTTTTATTAATTAGTGTAATGTCCGGTCTGTTATGTGCGATTGTCTTGTCCGTATGTAATGTCCTGTCCCAGTATAATTTGTATTCGTTGTTTTCTATGTAGTATGTTTAACGGTGTATACTTGTAGTATGGTGTGCGTGTTTGAATCAGTTGGTGTTTTAGTGCGAGTTCTTGGTGTATGATTTTTGCTGCTGTGTTGTCTCTATTCGTGTAGTCGGTGCCTGCAATTACTTTACACCCTCCTGTAATATGTTCAATTGTTTCTTGATATGCATGGCATTTTCTACATTTATCTGTGTCGATAAGTTCTTTTATGATGTACTTTCTGTAATTTCTTGTTGCTATTACTCTGTCTTGTATTGCCATAATAAAGGCTTCTGTTTCGGGAAATAATTTCCCCGCTGTTAACCAGGAGTACGTTAGTGTTTTGTCAATATGAATGTCTTGTACTAGTGCAAAGTGTTGACCGTGCAGTATTTTTTCTGACCACTTGATCTTTTTTTGTTCTGACGTTGTTATGTCAAGTGTCTCGTCTACGTTTTCTTGTGTTAGGTTGAGCGGTGTGAAGTTTTGGTCTATTTTAATTATGGCTTGATGAATGGGTGTCTGTTTTCTGTAAAAGTATGTCCTTAGGTTCTGTATTAGCGTGTGGTGAAGTGTCTCAATGTCAACGAGTCCCCTCCCACCTTCTTTTCTGCTGATCGTCTGCCTTTCTATAGATGAATTTGGATGAAGTTTTCTGTGTTGCGTCAATCTCGTTCTTGTTATTCGGTTCAGTTCCTTTAGGTCAGTGTTTGACCACTTAATGATGCCGAATGAGTAGGTAAGGAGTGGTATGGCGTAGGTGTTTATAGCCTTAGAAGTGTTTTTAGAGTTCAACCTGGATTTGAGGATGTTGTTTAATCTGTGCCGATAATTCTTTTTGAGCTGTGTTTTAAAATATGAATGATTTATACTTGTGTTTTGCTCAAACCCTAGGTATTTATATGTCTCATGTGGTTCCATGTTTCTTAGTATCTCATTATTAAGCGTTTCGGTTACATCGTATTGTTTGTGTTTTCCCTTTTCTACGTGAAGCATCTTACATTTATTTATACCGAATTGCATACCAGTGTCGTTTGTAAATCCTTCCGTGGTCTTTAAAAGCGCTTTCATTTGTGTGAGATTTTGTGCATACAGTTTAATGTCATCCATGTACAATAGATGATTAATAATATGTTGTATTTTGTTTTGGTGTTTAATTTTAAAACCAAGTAAAGCGTTGTCAACGTTGAGGCTGTTTGAAAGTGGGTTGAGACATAAGCAAAACCAGAGTGCACTGAGGGAATCACCCTGAAATATTCCCTACTGATTTTGATCGTGTTCGTTTGTATTTGTCCTTGTTCTGTTGTCAGGTGTAGCGTTGTTCTCCATGTTTTCATCGTTATTCGCAGAAAGTTTTGTATGACATGGTCTATTTTGTAGATTTCAAGAATTTTGAGTAACCAACTGTGCGGTATCGAGTCAAACGCTTTTTGGTAATCAATGTAGCATGTTATTATATTCCTTCTATGTGTTTCTGCATATTTCATAACTGTACTGTCTATTATTACCTGTTCTTTGCAACCCTGACTATTCTTCCTGCACCCCTTCTGTTCCTCTGTCAAAATGTTGTGATGTGATATGTGTTTGTCTATTTTGAGTGTAATAAGTGATGATATAATCTTGTATAATGTTGGTAGACAAGTGATTGGTCTATAGTTTGCCGGATCTAGGGTGTTCTCATTTTTTGGTATAATGTATGTTTTACCTTGTGTTAGAAAATTTGGTAGTGTATGCGGTTCCTGGATTATTTGGTTAATATGTTTCGTTAGTTGTTGGTGTAGTGATGTGAATTGTTTATACCAGTAGTTGTGTATATGATCGATTCCCGGAGCCTTATTATTATTATTATTATTATTATGGTCGGTGTTTCTTGTGAGAACTCAGGTCTAGCCTGGTTAACTAATCGCACGGATTAAAATCAAGTAACGATCAGTGTCTGTGTCTGTGTCTGGTGAAGTTATGTAGGGTCCTAAAAAAAAAAAAAAATCACACATGGGCACAATAAGCCAACGCTATCAGGAAAGAGGAAAACAAACCAAAACAAAAATCATTTATTATTATTATTATTATTATTATTATTATTATTATTATTATTATTAATACATAGTAAATGATATGCATATAATTAGATACGCATTCAGTTGTGTAATGGCAATTGCCAAAACATCAAGGGAGGACGCTTTTTGGCGAGATCTTTCTCCGTTGTTCTTGTTCATAGAGAGCAGAATTTTCAGTACCTGTGACCTGTCAGATTCTGCAATGTACAAATTACGACCGCAAAATTGGAAAGTAAGAAATACATCTAAAAATAATTCCGAAATTAGCATTAAATTGCTATTTGGGATTACGCATTGTTTATTCTATAGAAAGATTAACTTTCAGTCTCTCTGAAGCATGTAATTGGTTCTCGATGTTTCTTTTAATGAAATCATTCCAGACTATTGACATATGTAAATGTAGATAAGAATTTATTCACGTTGCATTACCCTTGCATAATCATGGCGTGGTTGAAGTTTACGAATGGAATACGTAATTAGAAATGGGAAAACCTGAGCGGCATCTCTAATTTAGAAAATCGATCAAACCCACGTTCGTTTTTGTAAAAGAGACGCGGCGCAAATCAAGGTCACCACCAAATTATCTCCCACTTCGTCGCCATCGTCTAATTTACGATTATCAAATTGAGAAAAGTGGCTGCCAAGTGAGGATCAATGGTTGTACAAATTACGAACGTTCAAGGTTCGCTACCATATTCGATAAGCTGAGGACAGTCAACCGTGAACGAATAAATATGCATTTAATTACCTCTCCCATTTTTCATTGTTTGGTCGACTCCAATTTAAACAGAATATAGTTGTAGGTAGTACCTATTTCGGGCATTCTTCTTTGGGACTAAGATTGTGTGTGCACGTTTATTCATGGAAGTAACCCGGCTCGCATCGATCAGATTTTACACGCAAAATATTTAAGCACGCGATGTTTTATAATTGCGCAATTATTTCTGAAAGTAATAAAGATCTTATTCCCTAACCGCTAACGGACTGGGCATTCTTTTCTTATCGCCATAATGTTGCGTAAGAAACGTGAACGCCGCGCCGCGCCGTTCGATTCAATGAAGGTCACGCTCATGATGTTTAAGGAGTGTTCTAGCTAGACTGTAAACCTCGATGTATGTTGACCTTTTCTATCATTTTTCGTATTTGCAGGTTTTGGTTGAATATGACGATGTGGAATGGCATAGAAGAGAATGGATCAGTGTGTACAAAGAAGGCCTTTTTCACCTATTTCTTGTTGAACAAGGATTGTCCTGGGGCGATCGCACCGATCCTTTCGCAACGTCACAGGCTCAAGTGTTATGGCCTGCACTTGTAAGTATTTATATGTAAATGTAAAACTTTTCTAGCGCTTCCGTTTCTTAAACTATTGATCTTCCATAACAATGTCTGACCGCCTTCAGTCAAAGAGCAGTGGTTTTTTAGGCTTGAGTTAAAAGTTTTATAGGTAGGCTTTTGAAATTTGTGACTTGCTCTAAAAGAAGAATCGATGTAAAATGTTTTTTTCTACTACCTTTTAAAGAAATAGCATTTCACTTCCCGTTTGGAGGGGCGTAAGCTGCACTGTTCCACTATTAAGGAGGAAAAACTTACCATATACATACACTGTGTCCTATGTCTATCATTGACTCCGAAACCATAGACGATGGTCAAAATAGAGAAAAGATTCGCAATTAAAGGGTTATTAATTTATTATCATGCTTTAAAGAAAACCAGAAAATTCCAATTACTTCCGAAGATGTGCCAGAAAAACCGTAATTTGCCGATTTCGTTTTTATTTTCTTCTGTTATTTGCAGATACAAAAAAAATTTTTTTAAACATTTTCTCATTGCCACTTTTTGAGCTCTACAAGACAGTGTTGAGAGGTTTTTTCTCCGGAACGAAACATTGTATAGAAATACAACGTTTCGTTCCGGAGAAATCTTCATCAACTTTATTTTTTATAATATGAAATTACATTTTTTAAAAATATAATAACTTGTATTTGGTTCCAAATTCTAATCCGACATAAAATTCTACGTCTTTTTTAAAAACCAACACCGTTGAGAGATTTTTAATTTCGGAGAAATCATCATTAACTTTATTTTTTTTATATGGTCCGTAAAAAAAACATACTGCATTGAGTAGCATTTTTTATTATGAATACAACCATGTACCACACATAAAAAAACATATGCTGAAGACTGTTGGTTTCAACGGGATGGTGCACCTGCGCACAACGCCAGAATACCTATAGGACGTATTTTCCATTTACCAGGAAACTTCCAAAAGTCATTGCAAAGGAGTTTCGTTAAATGTCTGAAATAAAAGCAATTATAGGACAAAATAAGAGCAGCATACTATACAAAAAATTAAGAAAATATGAACAAGAATTGACAGAAAAATTAACACATTAAAAATCTAACTACACCTATGTGATTATTATTTTTATTTTTTTTTCGATAACGGTCGCAAATACGAAAAAATTACAAGAGAGCAAAAAGTTTCAAAATAAAGTAGAGAATTGATTTCTTATTTTACAATCTACCAACGGCGCACTGAAAAAAAATTGAAGGGGTGAAAATGGAACATGACGCCTAAAAATCACCATCCTGTGGATTCTCACTACCATTGACACGATCAATTATGTAAGCCCTTCAGAGTCACTTATATTGTAAATTTGAGCTAAATATCTCAAAAACCGCAGGAAATATAAAGAAAAACTTAAAAAATCCTAAAATTATAACACCCTGTAGATCGGTAACGAAGCTTTTACGGACCGATGTTCATATAAACGTTTAGTCATAAGATAAGTCAAACACTTAGCCCCTTCCACGCACATCATATTTAAGAACACGGCCCTGTATTGTATTATCATGGTCTAACAATAAATTAACAAGCTATGTAAAACTGGAATCTGTATTGTTGGTGGTCTAGGTCTATTTGCAATAACAATGATATCAATTTTATTAAAGAGGATCGAGCCTTAATCATCAGTTGAACTTTTGAGCATTTTAAAATTATTTTTAAAACATTATTTTAATATTTAAAAAAATGTGCTATTGTTCGCGTTTTGTCCGTCCGTCCGGAATTTTTTGCAATAGGTAGTCTATCTCACTCTACACCTTGAAGGTGTGTATACGCAGCCTTCAAATTTAATACGTACATACTGGTTAACTTTTACATACAACGACCAATGATTGTCATTGTCATTGATTTTACGCATGCCTCTAGTGGTGGTAAGTAAAACTTTTGCAAATGGGAAGGGAAGGGTAAACACGTTCAACCATTCTAATTGTAATGAATGGTCTCGTCGGAAGAAATTTATTTCTATACTATAAACCCGCAACTCCTTCTCAAGATCAGAGAGTGGTTGGTGATGGGGTTGTGTTAGAAACTTGTTATATGCGCCATGGTACTTCTAAGATTTCAACGAAAGGAATTAATTTACACTCACCGGTCTTCCTCCTTGGCTCGTCATACCTGAAGAGTCAGGGGAGAGTACTCACAAAGAGCGATTCAACTACAAGAGACATAACCAATGGCGTTGTCAAAATTGGTAAGTCCGAATGTCTCGAAATCGGTATCGGAAAAGAGTATTGGGTTATAAATCCGGAGGTCGGGTGTTCGAACCTGGGTTGAGGTGAATTTTTCATCTGTGGCGGAGATGGAAATTACCTTAGACCAGTTCCAAGCATTCTACCGGCTACTCCGAATTAGGTTTTCCTGCAGTTTTCCTAATTCGTAAGGTAAATACCGGAGTAGTATAGACCATCTTAAGACCTTCTGCAGAGGCACCTCTAAATAGCAGTATGCGGGTCACTCTGTAATTGGGCGCATGCCTGTTGAGGGCCCAAAACAAGAGAGGGATAATAAAATAAAATAAAATAAAAAAGGAATCATCTGGCACGATTGGCACGTGTGGACGAAACATATCTACTGGCGATGTGACAAGGAAGTGTTCAAGGAGTGTACCTACAAGAGGAAAATAGAATATTGCAGAGAATTTCTCCAAGGGATTGATCGTTCTTGCTTTGGCTGTTCGGTCGGTCGGTCGGCTGCAAAGGTTTTTAAAGTATGACTCTCGAAGGAATCATCGTATGATGCTTGGGTTTGAAGTTTGAAGCATGCTACTACAACTTAGTATCATGGGTTTGAAGTATTAGCTTTGTGTCACAATTCTTTGCATGCAGATTATAATTCAGCACAGAAAGTTTCCTTCATAATGAAACTGTAGCATAAAATGCGTTTGCTAATAAAACCTCGTTCCGTTACACAAAAACGCGCCAGCGCATAGAGCACTTTCCAACTTGTGTATTTTAAGTACCCTGTATTCATTTTTTAAACAGTTGCTATAAATGTTGTCTACAATTACATAGGAAAAAAAATTTTTGACGAAATTGAACATTTCTAAATTTAATAATTACATGGCTAACAGAATTAGTATTACATTGACGGCGGCGGAAGTTACAGGATATCATACAAAAAGTGAGACAACGAATGTCATAGCGATAGACGATTAGTTAAATTTCGGCGAATAACAAAAACTGGTCACGGGATTGATTGATAATTACGAACGCGATTTCCTTCCGAGTAATGTAGATTTTGGTTCATTTATCATCCGTGACAGCTAAAACGGCGATATAATACAATATAAACGACCATTAGGGTTGTGCTACACTACAATCATCTATCAAAAACAATAATTTAGTGACAATAATAATTACTTAAGCACAAAATGTGTTTAGTGTTTTTATTGGTTTTGCTTGCTAGTAGATTCATGATACTTGATTATAAAACTCAATCTGATCAAACTTCAAACTTGGCTATTTAGTTATTTTGCTTTAAATCTTTAGAAATAGATATCAAAAGGGGCAGTTTATTGTGAAGTGCAGTGCGAATCTGAACTATCCCCACTGGGTATAAACTATAAATTCATATCAAGAGGGTTACTAGAAAAGTTTCTGGATGGGTTCGAGAGAGGGCACGAGCTTATAAATAAAGATAGACTGCTGAATGCTGATCAAACAGTTGCATAGAGGTAGAAATGGGCCTAGCATGGGCGCGGCCATGATGTGCACGTTTTAGTTATTTTCTAGGAGAATTTTCCTATTGCTCAAGTTTTGAAACTATTGCAGCCTTGGAAAATGACATGTGTCACAGTAATTTATTTATGGCCGTATGTACCCAAGGATGCTATATAATATAAGGATTGCTCGATCCCTATACTTGTAATGTTGCCCGTGTTTAATTCATATGTGACGTCACCAACGGACCTGCTTGTCATAATTGACAGTTATAATTTGCTAAGTTGTCAACGTTTTTGCATTAGCGTTATAACTGTGTGTATAAGTGTATTGCAACAAAAATTTCCAGGAGCTCTTAAAATCTTACATAATATAAAATACAAATGAAAGTGGTGCACAAATCGAAAAATCAAAGCATGCGGTGCGTCTGGGTCCGCCAGTGACGTCACTACACGCGGCGAAAAAATTCATTGATCGAGCAAATCTAAGCGAGGCTTAGCGTAGCTTATAATTCATGGCAACGATTATTGAGACAATGGTTGCCATGGATTTTAAGCAACGCTTAAACTAAGCTCCGCTTAATTTTGTCGGTGCATACCAAGGTTAGAAAACCTGAGGTTAATGGTTGTTTATTAGTTGATTTGAATTTCGCGCCAAGTGAGTGCACATCATGGCTGCCCCCGTGTAGGTGTCATTTGTCAATTCAGCATTAAAAGTCCATCTTAATTTATAAGTTCGTGAAAGAGGGTCACATCAATATCTCTTTTATTTGGCGAGCTACAAAAAATGTGTCATAATATAATTTTAAGTATGACTTTACGATCATATCCGATCGCATATTGAAACTTCCGGTGTCACTTCCTGTTTAACCGCAAATCGATGTAACTCTTGTTTTTAAATTGCAATGCGTGCGTTTTTTTTAACATATTTGAAAAGAAGTTTGCTGTGCGTGATATACAAAAAAATGGAAACGATTCGTGATTCAATATTTAGACTTATAGTCCAGTCATTTAAGGCAAAAAATAAGGCCAACCTCGGAATGAGAGATAATAAGCTGCAAACCTTTATTTTGTCATTCTGAAAGTTGTCTCAAAAGTCACATAAAATCTCGTGTCCGCGTCTTAAGATATTCAAGGTCAAAGGTCTCAAAAATCGTTTTTTGCAAATATCTCATTTCCTATGGTTTTAATGCCATTTATACTTATTATAAAAAGTGTAGGGAATAAAATTATCTACAACTTTTACCTCAAACATTTTTGTATATACTCAACGGTTTTTGAGAAAAAGGACGGTGATCGCGCGGCGTT